ACAAATAGACAAACATGTCAGAAACGTGAAGAGCAGTAGCCCATCTATTTGCTCTCAGAAACGTCACAAAAAGGAGCACCAAGGAATTGTGTATTCACCAATCAGTTTCCTGGAGAATGAAAGCGACAAGGTAAACAAGAGCTAGCCTTTCAAAACATCTTTTCCAGTGGATGCCTGGACAGGTGCGGCAATCTCACCGCCAGCTCCTCTCGCCCTTTGTAGATCAATACATCGATGGTCTGCAGAGCACAGACAAGGTACCGAGACACAAACGCAATCAGCAAGACAACAAAACGACAGCCCGCAATGGGGTTCCTGAAGCCTCGACAGCGCAGAAGCAAGACGCATCGTCCATAACATCTGCAGCACAGGGTCTTGCCGAGATCCATACGATCGGGCGCGTACCTTGGGGTTGGTCACGTCAGAGTAGACCCTGAATTTGTCCCCAACCTTCCGCCTCAGCTCACTGATGGTACAGATCTCGTCGAGGCCGTAATTTTTAAATATCCAGGGCAACGACCGACACACCTTCGATGCACAGAGGGGCAGAGGTCAAGCCAAGGGCGCTGCACCAAGAACGCCAGGGAGGGGCTGAGGGTCGCCTGTCTGACACGCGGGCCGACGGGATCAGTGCGCTTTTTTGCAGTTCGGGCACACGCAGATCACCTCGAGAAACAACCCCTTTGCCTTGCTCCTCGCGGGGCTTGGCGCCGCGGCCAGCTTCTCAGCAATCCTCGAGGCTGCCGCCATTGTCAGGCAGCCCCTTGCTCGTCTCTCGAAACCGGAACTCGGTAGCACACATCCGCCTGAAAGGGTGGCTTGAGAACCGGAATCAAGGTAATGAGAAGGATGGTGCCGGATTGGGAGGGTAATGGCTCCTGGCGTTTGGCCTCGTGTGCGCCCCCAGTGCCCTACCGCCCCAGACGGGGACCACCGCGGCCCGCGCTTTCCCGCGCAGTTTTGAAGCCATCTGCTGAACCCGCTGAGTGGCTTCGCATTGGCATTGCCTCGCTTGCGCACCGTGGTGCTCGGGAGCTCCAGGAGTCTCCTGGTGGTTGAACTGCTGCCTTTCGGCGTGCAGAGCGTGCCACTCGTTAAGACGGTCTTCGGCATGGTGTGCACCGCTGCGGACGATTGCGTACCTCGTCTCAAAATGGAGCTCGTTGACGGGAGCGCGAGGAGAGGGTTGTGGAAGTTTGGAAGACGTTCGATTGACGTCTGATGTCGAGGATAGCGCTTCGGGCTGGGATGCTGGGGAACACTTCACAGGTGTAGTCTGCAGTCTGCCATGCCCAAGGAGGCGTGGGAGAATGACAGCTGAATGGTTTGAACTTAGTTTTTGCAATTCTCGCTTCTGCCTGGCGGAAGCTGGAATGTCGTTGTTTGTTCATTGCAACTTGCGTCGATGGTGATGGAGCAATCAACACCAGAAACCAAGTTACCTTGAGCCGACACGCTGCCACGATCCTTGCCTGAAATGCTGGGAAAATCAAGAGGAGGAGTATGTGCAATCTTTTGTGCACAAATGCGGTTGCAAAATTATCTGGACCGTCGACTGAAGCTTCGTATGCCCCGGCTCAGGCTCGGCTTGATCCACAAGCTTGCAGTTCCTTCACTGCAAGACTGGCTGCACGAGCGCACTTGCGGGAAATAGCAAGCGTGTCTCATTTCCAGCCTCCAGCTGGTGGTTGCGCAGCCAAGGTGCCTGAGAAATGTTGTGGTCAGGTACTGCTTTGGGCACACTAGTGTGAAGTGCAAGCCCATTTGAGCAGTTGAAGATACCTTTAGTGGTGCATTCTGCCCTGAGCTCTGAAAGCGCGATGGTTCTATGTGCATCATTCAGCCTTGCAAACAAGCAAAGACAGTCAAGTGGTAAAATCCAGAACGCAGAAGCTTCTAGTTTGGCTGCAAGCTGAAACCCAAAGCCCAAGTTCCTTGTGTGTCTGTTGTGCTAGCCCCACCCACATGTCCTGTTTTGCCAGCTTCAGTTCCCAAGAAAATGATGCAGTCTCGTTGGGACTTGGACTGAGGGACTGGAGCGGTTCCAGCCACAGTGATTTGGATGCTTGCTGTGAGGCACCCGCGAAAGCAAGTGCCGAGGCTGTTCTGGTAGCCATGGGATATCCCACAACTGCAGTGTTGAACAGCGATTCACTTCTAGTGCCACAGGCGATGAGCGGTTGGGGGCGCATTCAGTTGCTCAAGAGGCACAATATTCATTGCCTGTGTAGTAGCCACGTTGTTGTCCAGTTATTTCAGCACTGCAATCAATGACCTACCCCTGGGTGTCAGATCACCACAACTCCAAACATTCAATGGAGCCAGCAGCACTGTGAACCAGCTCTCTGACAAATGGTACTTCGCATCTGTGGCAAGGAAAAGCAAGAAATGAGCACAGTCTCCCCAGCAGCATGCCACTACTCTACATGTCAGATATGGGGCTGCTGTGTTTCTGGCGAGTTTCAGTATGTACTTCCTCCGTCCCAGATAAATTGTCGTCTATTTGAAAGACAAATTCGTTACAAGGACGGCCTCAAAACTAGAAATCAAGGTCAAAATCGAAAATATTGGGTCCCAAAACCCTTATTCACCGACTTTCAGGAAGACAAAAAATTGAGACACGATCCCTTTGAGCGTCAGGTGAAAGGTAAATTTTGGCCATTTTTGACCCCAAATATCGAGTTCTACTAAAAGACCCTTTATACAAAGTGCCAAACCCTCAAACACTGCCAAATCCTCAACACTTTTAATGCATTGACTTGAAATTTTGACAGTACACTCCAAACTCACAAGCACAACTTTGGGTGAAAATTCCATTAAAAACTGATGTCGATATGATGGAGAAATAATGCCCCAAAGTCATAGACGACAATTAATCTGGGATGGAGGAAGTATTAACAAAACAGAAAATGGCAAGAGCTCAATGGTGCTTTGTACAACGTTCACACAATACAGACAAACTCAAAAGTTGTTGACCCAGCATCGAATCGTTTGTGATCGCTGGCAAAGTCAAGAGGTCTATTGTCTTGTCCTTTTGTCTGCTGGAGTCCATAGATATACTGAAAATTTCATGACTAATGTGGTACCGATCACTCATCAAGGCATTCCCCTGCCACAGCGGCGGGTGCAGAAAGCTTGTGGGACCCTATCGGCTGATCGGGCAGGTGTGTAGAGCAACTGCTTGGAAGGAGGAATGGGCACCGTTTTGCAAGAATGACAAGCTGCGTTTGGCAACTACGGCCGCCACCAGTTCACAGCAATAATTCGCGATATGAACGCGGCTTGTCTTGGACGGATTGGCGCATGCAGAGACAATCAACTGGTGATGTTAACGTTATCAAAACGCTGTTTTGGTGGACGGCAGCACCAGTGCCGCCTTCGCAGCCCTATATGGGCACTCGGGGTGCGACTGTGGATTTTGTGGCCCCATCACAGAGCAGACAGTCGCGAAAAGCACGGCAATAGCGCAGTACCGTAGTTTTTTAAACCCTTCCGCACAGTAACGTAACGCTGGGCCCTTTTTCGCGGAGTCGATGAATAAAAAAGTAATGGTGCCGGAGCGAGATGCGGAGCAACCGAATTTAGTAACGGCCGGGGAGTGGCTTCGGCTTGGGAACGGGCTTGGCCCCGGCACCTGGCAGGCCACTGGGCGGTCGATCGGCAGGCAGGCCGGCGCCCGCCGCTTGCCCACCGGGCGGGTCGGGCCTCAAACCGCGGGAAGCGATCGCAGGCATATGCCTGCGCCATCGCGGATCGACCCGGGCAGCCGATCGCGTCGCACGGCCTGTCGCTCCACCCAAGAGCACATGTTCCATGGCACTCGACGCCCACTGTCCACAGCCGCGCCTCTCCTCGCAAGTCACTAGGACTCTTGGGAAGCGTCCCCAGAGCCGGGTGGTTGGTGTCGTACGGTGCATGCACGTACGAGGCTTGGGACTCGTCCGTTGCACCTGAAACTTGGTATACAGGCTCTAGAGCCCCCCCCGAGCCCGCCCGACACGATGCGGAGCAAAAGAAAAAATAACGTAACGGTCCGGAACGAAAATGCGGAGCAAAAACGTAACGGTTGGGATGGACCGATGCGGGAGGGTTGAATATTTTACGGTACTGGGTTGCTGGACGGCAGCATCAGTACCCCCTCTGCTGCCCTATCTGGGCAGTCGGGGTGCGACTGTGGATTTTGTGGCCCCAGCATGAGGCAGACAGACACGAAAAGCACGGCAATAGCGCAGCACTGGTTTGCTGGAGGGCAGCATCAACACCTTCTCCGCTGCCCCATCTGGGGACACAGGCCGCGCTGGTTGATTATCTGGTCCCATCATGCAGCAGACAGCCCAGAAAAGCACAGTAACCGCACACTACCGAGTGCCTTCCCCATTATGCACATGGCTTGGAATGAGGCCCCCGCGGCCACCAACAGGTTTTGTGGTTGGACGTGGCGCGCACGTGGCTGTACGTGACGGAGCACGCGTGCTGTACAAATGGCCCCTTGTGGCTTGCGCGGATCCGGGCGGGGGTACGCGGGATGTGGTGATGTGGTGCTGAGGAGCCCCCCCCTTGGTCTTGGGTGCTGGAAAATCAGGTCGAGGAACACAGCTGGTGGACGGCGTAATCGGCGTAGACACTACGGCGGTGCCACAAGGGGCGTTGGTGGCGCGCGGCGGCAGAATATCCCCTCCTGTAATTCCTTTTGGAGTGACTCAGCATGATCGGAAGGACCCCTTGGTCGCTGGCGGACGACCACGTGGTCACAACACTCCCGAGTCATACCAGCTAGTGCCCATTTCGGCGAATATTTTGGGAATATTCTGGCACATATGCCCAGTGATGGAGAGTGAAAGTCAAAAGGGGGGTGGTGGTAAGACGCGCGTCGCCGCTTGGGAGTGCCTCCCCACCGCTCTTCTAGCAGCGGCCCCCCAGCCCACTGCAACGCGGCGCCGGCGCGTCGGTCCTTCAACGCCGCTCGTGCCTCTGTCCCCGGACAGGCGTGGCTCGTCACCATGAGCGAAAATTGGGATCAGTATGAGTGGATCGTGGTGGTGGGCGGCTTTCTGGCCTTCTTCACCGCCTACGGCATTGGAGCCAACGATGTGGCGAATGCGTTCGCCACATCGGTGGGCGCCAAGTCCATCACGCTGGGCCAGGCCGTCGTCATTGCCGGTATTTTCGAGTTCGCGGGAGCCGTGTTGCTCGGAGCGTCCGTGACAGACACAGTGAGGAAGGGAGTGGCAGAGACAGAGCCCTTCGAGGATGACCCAGAAATCCTGATGTACGGGATGATGTGCGTCATTGCGGCGACGGGTCTGTGGCTCCTCCTGGCCTCCTACCTCGAGCTGCCAGTGTCCACGACCCACTCCGCCATTGGTGAGTGACGCCGGCGCTGGTTCTGCCTGTTTCCTTTCAGCTTCAAAGCGATGCGGCTGCATGGCTGAGATGCTGATGGCGGTGCGCGGTCGCTGGCGCGCGCCTGTCCAAGTTCGCGCACCCGAGCAAGGATTGGAAGAGCAACGGGTCCCGCGGTGACCCCGCCGTCCGGCTGCTAGCTGCACGGCGCGGCCCTCTCCGATGCCCCTCGTAATGGCGCACAGACGCGATCGTCCGAACCGTGGCGGCTGACTGGCGGCCGACTCGCTGCGCCCAGGTGGCATCGTCGGTATGGCCCTGACGGCGCACGGCTCCGAGGCCGTCGTGTGGTACGAGTTCGATGACTCCAAGGAAGCGCTGAAGAAGTATAAGGGCGTGGCGCCCATCATCGTCTCCTGGGTGGTGTCGCCCGTGTTGTCTGGCGTCCTTGCCGTCTTCCTCTTCTGGTTCGTGAGGACCTTCATCCTGCGCCACGCCGACTCGAGGGCCAGGTCGTTCATCTTCTTCCCCTTCCTGGTCGGTATCACTATCGCCCTGAATGTGTATTTCATCATCTACAAGGGCTTCAAGAGGAAGCTGGGCAAGGACAAGAAGGACCTGTCTGAGATTCTGGGCGCCGGCTGGTCAACTCTCATTGCAGTGGGCCTGGGCTCTATCATTGGCGTGTGCGTGTGGTTCTTCTTCATCCCTTGGCTGCGAGTGAAGGTGAACGAGAACCTGAGGGAGATGGAGAACGAGAACGCCTCTAACGTCGCCCTGAAGGAGGGCAAGAAAGGTGAGGAGGAAGAGCACAAGAACCCAGCCTCCCAGCACCACGCCGGGACCAGCAGCACTGGCTTCATGGGTGCTGTCAACAAGCTATCCGACCACGACGTGCACGGTGTGATCGAAACCGACAAGCAGGTCGCTGACATTTACGAGTCCTCCGAGTCCTTCGACCCGGGCACTGAGGAGTCCTTCAAGTACCTCCAGGTCTTCACCGCCACCATGGATTCCTTCGCCCATGGTGCCAACGACGTTGCCAACGCCATGGGACCATTTGCTGCCATCTGGGACATCTACAGGAACAGGGGCTTCAGCGGCTCCAAGTCTGATGTGCCCGAGTGGATCCTGGTCATTGGCGGCGCTGGCATTACCGTTGGTCTGGCCACCTACGGCTACAATATCATCCGTGCCATTGGTGTCAAGCTGGTGAAGATGTCTGCCTCCCGTGGGTTCGCCATTGAGCTGGGTGCTGCCACCGTTATCGTCGTGGGTTCCCGGTATGGCATTCCTTTGTCCACAACCCACTGCCAGGTGGGAGCCACCGTGGGAGTCGGCCTGCTGGAGGGCAGGAAGGGTGTCAACGTCCTGCTCCTGATGAAGGTCATCGTGGGCTGGATCATTACCCTATTGGTTGTGGGAGGCACCACTGCCGCCTTCTTCGCCCAAGGCGTGTATGCGCCATCCCTCCCCAACCTGGAGGCCATCAACAGGTTCAGCGACGGCCTGAATGGCACCCTGACCGACATGAACGGCCTCCTCGGCGACCTCGGTCAGGACGAGGCTGCGACTGGCTTCCGGGAGAGGTATGATGAGACCCTGGAGGTGGCCATCGACCAGAGCGAGGCCCAGGCCGGCATCATTGACGAGGCGTTCACTCTTGTGGCCGAGCAGTGCAGAGCTCTGCAGTCTTAGATTATGAATGCTTTCGCAGGCAGGCACTGCTTTTTCCAGAATTAAGTGGGTGTGGGGGAGGTTGACGGACTCGTTCTGTCATCCTTGACTGGGGCGGTTTAATTTGTTTGTGTGCCTCTTGAGGAATGAGGATGTTGATTTAGGGGGTAGAAGTCATGGAGGCCTGAAGGGAGGCTTAAATGTTTGCGAGAAGTCATGTCACCTTCAAATGATGCGATTCACCCCACTAGTGTATAATGTGCAACGGACGTGGTTTTGTGGGTCCATTCACGGACGCCATGAGAATTCATCGCGTGGGCGTGTCATTCGTAGTGTGTTCGCCATTCAACGTGTAAAGTTTCGCCGTTGTGTGTCGACAACCTTAACCTGATGGCAAGAAGTTGGGACTTGGGGGAGGCAGAGGCCTCTCACCCAGCGGAAACTGTCGATGGGTGGCAATGTTGACGGTTTTTCTATACCCCAGAGAGCGATTATTGCGACCGCTGGGGATTTTGCTGTCGCCATTCTGGCGTTTTGGGACGTTTGTCAACGGTCGCAGGTCTGCTGAGGGTGAAACTGACGGTCGGAGGCGATGTGAAGTGTGGCGAGGGATGCGGTGCAGCGATGTCCGGCCACACGATTGTGTGATATTATTGTTAATAAAAAAGTGAGGTGTGACACTGCTTGCTTCACTGCCTGCGTTATTTTGCGGTGCCAATGGCACTGCGGCCAGCCCAGCCCCTCTTGCTTTCCAACTGCGATGTGCCCAACGCTCTTGTCACCCTGCCTTCCGTGTGTCACTGAAGTTGACCGCCTTGGAATCCACTTGCGGGGTCGTGATACTGGTTGGAGTGCAGGCATCCATAGAAACCGCCCTGGCACCAATGTTGTCATTTGGATGTGGCAACCTATCCCAATTCCCAATTGGGCGTCGACGAAGCTGAGCCAAAGTCTCGAACAATTGCCCTGACCTGTTCGCGCATTCTAAAAACACAGCTATGGAATTCCTGTCAACAGGTCGATGTGTCGGCCAAGCACTGGACTCATAGTGAAACGAAATCGTCGCGCTTCACATCGATAGTGTGGGTGTCCTTTCAGTCCCAGCAGAGCCACGTTTGCCACGAGACGATGAACTGGCTTGGACGGAGGACATCTCGACCAACACGACACTTTTTTCAGTGTTTGCTTGTCGCCCACCATGGATCGATCGGCTCGGAAGCCGGAAGATGTAGCAAGTATGACAGGTGCACTGTCAGGAATCACCAAGACAGCCCTGATCGTCTTTGACACAGCACTTGTTGGAAAACGCCGAATTACTCCCAGAACGCTCGCAAACATTATGAAGCATGGAGCAAATGCTGAAGTTGGGCCTCATGGAACTGCAGTACATGGTTCAGGATGGTTACCGCCATGAGAGGCACAAACAGCGCTGATGTAAAGCTCGACAAATTTCTGTGGATTTGCTCCATTCAGGTGAATGAACGAAGATGTGGGCAGATATTAATTTATGTTGTTAATATAATGACCACATTAAAGCAGAATGCGTCTTGA